GCTGTCTTGAAACGCAACGCTAATCTGCCCATTAGTCAACAGGAGCATCTTCCTGCCTCGAGCCGTTAGCGTAAGCTCGCTCCTTTTCTCTCTGATGGATTGTTACGAGTTGGAGGTAGGCTAAGTAACGCTTTGCTCGACTTTAACGCGAAACACCCACTAATTTTGTTTGGTAGAGATTCTCTCATCCTGTTACTTGTTAAACGCTATCATCTTCTTACTCTTCACGGTGGTACCCAAATAACTTTGACCGCTCTTCGTCGAAAGTACTGGGTACTAAATGGTCGTCAGATTGTAAGTTCTGTGCTGTCTCACTGCTTGACCTGTCGCCGGTATGCTGCACAGCCACAAACGCATTTGATGGCAGATCTGCCAGCTGCAAGAGTAACTCCCTCACCAGCATTTCTAAGAACTGGTGTGGATTACGCCGGTCCTTTTCCTGTTCGTTTAGCAAAGCACCGCGGGAGAGGCACCCTTAAGGGCTACGTTGCGGTCTTTATTTGTATCGTCACGAGAGCTGTACATCTGGAGGTCGTCGAGAACTACACTGCTGACTCTTTCATAGCGGCCTTCCTACGTTTCACGTCTCGTCGTGGCCAGTGCTCCAATCTCTATAGTGATCGAGGCACTAACTTTGTGGGGGCTGATCGAGAGATGAGCAAAATGTTGATGGATCGTCATAAAAACGTCTCCTTTGCCGATGCTCTCTGCACCCTTGGAACGCAATGGCACTTCAACCCCCCTTCAGCCCCCCATTTTGGTGGTTTATGGGAAGCTGCAGTCAAATCGACGAAATTCCACCTTAAGAGAGTCATCGGAAACCAAGTCCTTACCTTCGTCGAATTTTCCACGTTGTTATGTAGGATCAAGTCATGCCTTAACTCGAGGCCCTTGGCACCCTTGACAGACGATCCCTCCGATTGAAGTCCACTAACTCCTTCTCACTTTTTAATGTTCAAATCTTCTTACTCGACACCAGAGCCTGACTTAACTTCCGAGAAAATCTCGCCCTTACAACGGTGGAAGCTACTGTCCCGAGCCTTACAATGTTTTTGGCGCAGGTGGTCAGCAGAGTATCTTAGCTCTCTCCAAACTCGTGAAAAATGAGTCTCTCCCCAACGGTCGTTACAGGTAGGGGACCTAGTATTAATTAAGAACGAGAACACTCCTCCTGGCAAGTGGCCTCTCGGGAGAGTCGAAGATGCTTTTGAAGACCCAAAGGCGCTGGTGCGAGTCGTAAAGATTAAAACTCAAAGTACTATCTTAACCAGACCAATTCATAAGTTAATTTTGCTACCTACCGTTTCCGAGATCGAATCAACGGGCACACGTTAAGTAATTAAGTAACTATTTGAGAGATGGTATAACTATGTTCGCGGTCCAACCTCACCGCCTCTCTTATTGTATAGTTTATAAATATTATAACACTTAGAATTAATTCAAAAAATTGCACATTTTTTCGCTTTATGATTTATACTTTTCCCTTTTGCTTCGTTTCTGGTAACACTCATTGTACCAATTTAAAGAAATTAAGAAAAAATACCTTTATACAAAATTGTACCAATAATTTGATTTATTGTAAGTGGAAAGCGCTCCACAGTTATCTTTTCAAATGCTTGATGTCATTTGTGTGCGTGTATGTGTGGCAAAAGTGTTTTCAGCCGAGTGCTCCACGCGTGTGCTCTGAGTGAAAAGCGCATGCACCGCGCTAGAAAGAGACGGTATGACTGAGCTCCGTGCTCTCCCCGGCTTAACATCACTCCGCCAAGTCAGTCAGCAATTGCTCTGCATCACAAGAGGGAGTAAGAGCCAGTCACGCTGCACTGCGTCTCTTCTCCCTCCTATGTAAAAAAAGTCAATGTACGCGAGTGTTCAGTTCCGAAAGAAAATTAAAGCTGATTTAATAAAAGGAAGTCGCCTTTTTATTTACCCGCGTACACTACAATTCCCAGAAGTTCTCGTCAACTCCTTCGTCCACGCGATCTGGCGCAACAACAGTGCAGGAGCACTGCCTCCCGGGCACCATCCTGTACATACTTTCTCCTGTTTCTATTTTTATAAGCTCATGCTTGACTATGAACTTCATTAGTTCTGATGGTTTTTTATTGATTCATCGTGTCGATACATTTCAACTGGCGACAAGTATAAGCTGTGTTAAAATGATGTTAGTAAAGTACAAAAGGTAAACTACGGTTATGTCGGGAGGAAACACAATTAAATAATTTATTAAGTGTAAGGTAGTTTTCAAACTAACAAGTTTTCAGCATATGAAATGATAAGATATAGTTATAAATGATTAAGAATTTAATAGTGGAATGTCAAGCAAAAGTATAACAGTTTAAGTTTAGAAATATAAATATTTCTAAAAATGTTTAAAAATTATTTAAATGTAATATTCTATTCAATGAAAAATACAAATATAAGATGCTCTGGAAATGTCTAAAATGCACAATTAAATATTTAGCAAAAAAGCTGATTTGTGCCACCAGAAGTAAAAATAAAAATATAAATAATTAAAGAAGAGAAAATAGTAGGGGGAGTAGAAATAAACTTTATAATAAAGACGATTTGGCAAGTAACAGGCTATGACATGGTTATTTTTTATTTCGAGCCAAAATGCAGCAAAACTCGATTTGGTACAATTTTAACAGCTAAGGCTTGTTTCTAGTACCCACGTACGTGGTTTGCCTATTTACTACGTTTTACGCGAGAGAAAAGGAGAAGAAGATAGAGACATACAGCCAGTAAGACAAGCAAAGAGAAGAGTGAGAGAAAAAAACGTGAAAATAAGGAAGAAATGTACATCAAAGGACTCTAAGTGATTATATTATAGTTGTGCGCGTGAGTATATGTGTATATTTTTATATAATTTGGTAGCAAAGTAGGAATATTTGTGTTGTCAATTAATGGTGGTTATCGTAATAATCACATGTATTTTACAGTGTCTTTCCTTGTAAATCGTATCGCGCCAGGACTAAGTATGAGTATGTGTATATCCGTGTAGTTGGGGGAAAGATGGGTCATGTGCAATGCATGCTGTGAAATTTCTTGTGATTAAAAAGAGAAGTGATGGGAGTAAAAGGAGGGTGGGGGTAGAGATCGCCAAGAGAGTGAGAGAGAGTAAGAATAAAGTTGAGAGAAGAAAGTGACGCGTGTATGAGGGCGCGGATCAAGTTGTCCGAAATGAAGACGTTCGGGTCAAGGAAGAGAGTTTTGCGAGCATGGCCGCTCAAATTCCGGACGAGCCGATGAGTCCGAAATGACGGAACTCTGTAGTACTGCCTGTTACAGAAGTGTATTGAGAGTGTATATGCGTATTCGAAGAGTCGTCTGAGCCTCAGCAGTCGGTAAGTGGCCGTCTTTCCGTCGTAATAGAACAAAGAGTGTGTGTGCGTATTCAAAGAGTCGTCTGAGCTTGACAGTCAGTGAGAACTTGACAGAGTAGCTGGTGAGGCCGATGGTAAGACTTTCTGCTAACAATGTTTGTGCGAGTTTGCAGCAACATCTGAGACTCAGCTAACCGGCAGGTGAGGTGAACGGTAGGACATCCTGTGGAGAAACAAGAGGATGCACAATGTATGCTCTCGTTGTCGAGCTGATGCGTCAGGTAGCTTTGGATCGAAGGTGTTGTGTTGTGGCCAAGTGTTCTTGTGATCGAATTAGTTTTTCGTAATCTCTGAACTAGCCGTTCTTTAGGTGACATGAGGAGAAATTCGTATGCATAGGCATTATATTCCTAAAAAATATACTGAAGATGATAAATAAAAAAATCTATCCTTAATGCCTATAAGTAAAGAAGTATTTAAACTGATTAGGTAGATATTAGTACCAAATTATATGATGGTTAAGAAATTAAACGATATGAAGTAGAAATTGTGACTAACTTTAAGCTGAAATATATTGATATCATACTGCTGAATTGAAAATACTGTATTTAAAATGTATATTTTGAGACATAGAGTAGCTTTACACGTTTACGTTATTTACGGTGTAAGATATGAAGACATTCGTGTAAAGTTATTGACAAGCACCAAGAAACTATCATAGCACAATGCCGAAAAAAGGGTGTGTTTTTGCTGTCGGAAATCTCATCACATTAGTGAAGATTGTCATTTTCATGACTATGCGTGCTATTATTGTAGCAAAAAACACTTTATTAAGAAAGCGTATTGCAAAAAGCAAAATAGAAGTCATTATTTCGAAGAAGCAGTAAATGTGGTACCTACAGTGCAAAGTAAGAATGTTGGCGTGGTGTACGAAAAATTTTCTTGAATCATTTTTTTAACAAAATGTTAACCACGTGTCAGTATTAAAAGACAGGAGCAAACAGCAAAATTAACTACAAACTACAACGCAAGCAATAATGTAGTTATTAATGTTATGTTACAGAGGGCCAAGTGATAACGAGAGCTAGTTAAATGAGAAATTTGGAGTATCAAATAATAAACTTAAATATACAGATGTAGTGTAACATAAGAACTAATAACTAAAGTCAAAACTTTAAATAAAGGTGATACTGACAAAGACATACGAGTGGTTGTAGTACACACTATCACCAAGGGCGTACGCTATTTTTTTGCATATACATGCTCGAAAATTTATATTTTACTGAACTAAAAATTTACAAAATGAGGCTATACTGGCTTAGAAAACATGAACATTTATTAGAGGTAGGCAAAAAAATTTAATTATAATAAGACGAAGATTGACTCATACATTACAACAAAGTCCTTATAAGTTAATGTTTTGTCATAAGTGAATAAATAAGTTCTGAATGATCAGGACTCAAATAATGCCTTTTGTTTTCTGGTCTTACCAAGTTACGTTCATCAATATTTTGAAATAAGCGTACGCTTTTGTTACAATTATAAATATTAATATCTAAAGCTAAAGTAAGAGTCAGAACTACAAAGAGTAAGCCCCGTTCTATATGTATTATGATAATTACTTTCACAGTAAGTAAACATTTATAAAAAAAAAAAGAAAAGTAATAAACTTACATTCTCGGGGTTTTCCAGCTCAGGTCTGAATGGGTAATGAGTATAAAATAATTCATTTTTCCTCATTTTTTTCCGCATTCTACATGGACCTTCCGTCATATCAAGCATCCACTTATCAAGTACTGAAGGTGTAAGCGGTCCCCATAAACCTCGCTCTCTAGTGAGCTCTATTTCTGTCTGTAACCATTCCTGTAATACGAAATAAAAAAATTAATAATTTATGTTTAGTTGGAAACACTTGTTCAAATTTGCATAAAGTTATGAATATTAAGCGAAATAAAATATGTAAATATCAAAATTACCTGATAAACATAACGTTGCATGTGTAAACAAGTTTGTTCATATTGATTTTTCTTTGCTGCCACTAATTCTTTGACTAACGAAACGTTCTGTTCAGTTTGTAGTACAATAGTATCATAACATAGTTTAAATTTCTCTTTGCCGTACTCCTCTTTTCTAACTTTTGTTCTACTAGCTAATCTTGTTAAACCTCCGGTAACTTTTTGGATTTTCTATAAGTGAGAAAGTTTAGGTTATGATAAAATAATTTTTTATTTTATATTATTTTTCATACATTATTAAATAATTTGTACAGTAAACTTATAATAATTTATTTCAGAACATATCTTACATTATTAATAGCTAGCTGAATCTGACCCTGGAACTCAAATGGGATTCGATAGGATACTTTGCTTTCTGATATAACATAATTCATCCAAAGTCGTTGGGCTATCTCATGCACTAGTTCTCGAACTACAAACAAGTCAGGAGCACGTTCATTGCCAACTGTAGATGGAAGCGTAATTTTGAAAACTTCTTCTATAGCTGGTTTCTTGCATACGTACAACTCCTCCCAAACTCTTACAGCTGCGTTTATTATAAGTTTATGACCTTCATCAGAGGTAAATGTATCAACACCAGCATCAATTTGTGGATTTACGTGCCAGGTAGTTCTTATGTTAGTATCTAATGGTATTTTAATATTAGCCATCAATTGCATCAAGCAATACATTAGGCCACTAATAAAGTTTAACTCATGATTTCCAGCTCCAAACACAAGCAACCTGAATAAAAAAAAATACTAACAATTAACATTTTAAAATAAATATAGTTTTAATTTCTTTGTTATAACAACCATAGCTGTCTTTAACAAAATTTATTGGGAAAGAGAGATACATTCTGTATCAATATTATGATTATTTTATAGAGATACTTTAATTACAAGATATAGGCTATTCTATGATACGTAAATCGACATAATCTAAAGTTTTATTTAACAAGAGTGGGCTTCGGATGCTAATCAACTGTTGGCATGTTCAGTATTAACATCAAACTCAACAGACTTGTGTTAAACTTTCTAAAAATACTAAGTACAACGACTTATTTGGAGTTTCTTATGATTTTACATGGAAATGGCAGTATTCCCCTCTGAAACTGGCTTAACAATAATAAGTGTATAAAATTAACTTGTTCATTAAGTAGACCGTAAAATTTGAATTTAATTCTGCTAGATCGCCTTGATTTAAGATGTGTGTGAAGAAAACTTAGAGATAACGGTAGGTACGTGAGCTTCCAAATTTACGAAATTTATTTCTTTAAGCATTTGAAATTGAGCTAACAGAAGTTACCCTAACACTTTGCAAGGGAAAAAAAGGAATTAATCGATACAAAAAGCACTGATGATAATAAGTAAGACTTTGAAATTTCTACTAAGATATATACGAGATTCAATAAATAAGATAAGTCTAAAACATAAAACAGCTCTCGTAAAAAAAAAAAAAAAACATTAAAGCGAGGATGTAAGCGCGTCACGACCAGGTGAGAGGAAATGCAAGAAGAGTCAAAAATAGTTAGCGATTTTGGCGGCTTTAAATAATAGAGGGAGATGGCGCAATGAAAGGGCAGATAAAGGGAAAAAGAGGACTTCTTCATCGTCGAGGAGCTCAATAAGGTCGAGAAACTTTTCCATTTTTTGGTAGTAATAGTTTTCGACATCATCGTCAGGTGGTAACGGTGAGTAAAAGAAATCAAAGTCAAATGGGCAAGTGAAGCTCGTGAATCGTTTTCGATAATTTCTCGTCGTAAAGGTAATGAAACCCTTCATGGTAGCGTCATAGACGTGCTTTACCTCGCACGAGGAAATTTTGATTTGGCTAGATTATATTGTTCTGTTATAATACCACGTTCTTTAGAGACTGGTACCCCGTTCAATATTGCGTCGTGCTCTAGTTTTGATTATTTCTGTTTCTAATTTGGTCAGTTTCAGTGGCGTTCCAAAAAAACGTCATTAAATTTGACATCAAGGTGTAGATGCTGTGAGATTTAAAGCGATTCGATCATTTATAATAAAACGATTTTTTGAGTTTATAGTTATTAAGACGAGATATTTTTTTAAATCGAAAGTAATTATATAGAGAACATAATAATACCACGAGACTTTTGTCTGTTTATGCTTAACGATTGACGATATCTTGAAGTAGCTAGTAATTCTAGAAAAAGTGAAAAAAGAAGGGCAAAGGTAGTTTTTCTTTATCAAGTGATTATTAATTCTAAAAGTTTTACAATTCTTTAACTATAAATATCCAAAAAATATTAACTTAGGTTCATTAATATGATCTGTCACAATTATTTTTATACAAACAGCTATGCTGACCTTATTTTTCCTACATTAATTCTTTAACGACAGTTAACAGCATTATTAAAACCAAAATACGTTTTGTAGTTAATTATAACTTAATTAATCATTAACTGATAATTAAAAGTGCTCTAACTCTTTGTCTTAATTATTTTATTTGCACTATTGTTTACAAGTATTGTGAGCTTGGATCTTGACTCCACCACCACTTCGTCGTCTAGTTTCCAAAACCTACTACTTGTAGATCCTGCGTTATCCTGAACCTCTTCTTGTGACAATGAATACTAACTTCCGTACACGAAATCAAGTTTTTCTTAGACAACTAACCGTCTCTTGTGATACATTAAAGCACTTTTGTGCATACAACTTATCTTTTAAAGAAATATGAAATAAATTTTTCATTCGGAAATTATACGGACCTTGTTAAAATGCATTGTTATTAATATTAAAAACATGTATTGTATCATTATTTAAATTTTATGACGATTCCTAAAACCAACAAAAATATTCTCATTTATTTTCATTGTATATGTTCCAATTTCATTTTAAAATTGTTTTACTATTGTAAGCATGTTAAATGATGCATGAAGCATTTAAAGTATGTGACTCTAAGTGTAAGCCCGAAGTGTATGCACGCATGACCGAATATAATATGGGAACTCCGTTGCGATGTACGTGACCAAAGGTCGACAACATTTCCAAGTTTTTACGTGTACCCGCAGCTTGGATATACAAACTCAGTGTTCACAGAGTGACTTCGTCTTTCATTTACAATACACAACTTTCAGCGCCTAACAACTTTTGTTAATTAGCAGGGCAAAGTTATCTTGGCTACGGAAAATAATTGCATCGACATTACATACAGTTTAACCGTGTTCATAACCTGTATAAAAAAACAAATGACAAAGTTCGAAGTCCGAAGTCCAGCATTGTGTTAAAAGATGATCTTCTTACTATTGAAGAAATATAATTATTTCTCACAAGCACTGTGCTCATTAAGTTTAACGAAAAGATCATACAGTTCTGTATATTAACTGTATAAGTCCATCCATTTAGCCAGACAATATGCCAGTCATGTAGCCAGTCATTTAGCCATACTTTTAACCGTACAGTTAGCCGTTTATTTAGCCAAACATTGAGCCATACTTTGTGCTCCACTTTAAGTCATATTTTAAGCCAAACATTTAGTCATACTTTGAGCCGTATTTTTAGCCACTTATTGTAATGTACCTTGAGCAATACATTTAACCATACTTTTATGCGCACATTTAGCCACCATTGAGCCAGATATTGTGTCAGACTTTGAGCTATACTTGAAGCCATACATTCAGTCATACATTGTGTCATACTTGGAGCTGTACTGTAAGCCATACTTTTATAGCCATAGTTAGAGCCATACCTTATGCCATACTTTCAGCCATACATCAAACCATACATACTTATACCCATATAAGTACAAAGATGGTAGTAGGTAGCTTGAAGTCATAACAGTTAACAATACGTAAATAAATAAAGCGTGGTATTCATAGTAAATTAAGTAGAGCGGGGTGTGAAAAGTTGAAAAAAAATATAACGATGTATATATATGTATATATATAAACTGGGTAAATGGGACAATACATTTAAGAACTATACATTTAGATTACAGTTTAGCTTAAGTTTCAACTTGGTCCGCTGCTTGTGACACAGGCAGGTGGACGGATTGCACCTTATCAATTGATACTGTACTGACTCGCGAAAAAAAACATGTGTATATATATGAAGTGACAATTTGACTTTGAACCTCCCTTCCGCCCCCCAAACACTCTGTAAGAGTTTTCAGGGCAACTATTAGCGATTAAAGTTATTAACCTTTTAAATAAAATGATTTCTTTAAACTGTCATTCGGCAGTTATAAGGTATGAATATAAAATAAGTAAATGACAAAGTATAAAGTCCGAGGTCCACTCCGAGTCAATATATGTTTATTTAGAGAATCATGCAAAAAATTCTGTCAACAGAGCATTATTTCCTTTAAGAAAAAATTCCTACACTTTCTGCGACAAAGTTACTTGGTTGTAATAATCGATGAAGAAAAACGCATTACTTTATATTTTATTCATCACACGATGTGTGGCTACACGTGTGTCTCAAAGTACAGCTTAAAGTATGGCTAAATGTATTGCTTAAGGTATAGCACAAAGCACGGCTCAAAGTATGGCTCAAGGTATGGCTGAATGTGTGGCTGAATTTACCGCTTAACGCATGGCTTCAAGTATGGCTCAATGTCTGGCTACATGACAGGCATGATGTCTGGCTCAATGTCTGGACTTTTACAAAACTGTATGATCTTTTCTCTTAAATTAATTGACACAGTGTATCCAAAAAAAAAATTGTATCTCAATACTGCAGAATATATCATCAAACATGAAGCTGGAGCTTGAACTTCAAACTTTGTCATTTGTTTTTTCAGTAAAAGTTATGAAAGTCTGGCTCAATGTATGTCTGACTGTACGGCTAAAAGTATGGCTATAAGTATGGTTAAATGTACAGCTTCAAGTACGGCACAGGGTGTGGCTGAACTTATGGCTTGAAGTTTGGCTGAAAAAATTGCTAAATGTCTGGCTAAGGGTATGGCTTGAAGTATGAAATAAAGTATGGTTAAACGTATGGCTAAGAATATGACTGAGAGTAAGGCTCAAAGTTTTGCTCAATGTCTGGTTAAATGTATGGCTCGATGTCTGGCTAAAAGTCTGGTTCAAAGTATGGCTGAATGTACGGGTAAAAGCGAGCCTCCAAGTATGGCCTCATGTAAGGCACAATGTCTGGCTAAATGTATGGCTAAAAGTGTAGCTCAAAGAATGGCTCAAAGTAGAGCTAAATGTATGGATAAGGATATGGCTTAAAGTATGGCTTAAAATATGACTCAATGTCAGGCTGAATATATAGCATGAAGTATAGCTTATAGTATGGCTAAAAATATGGCTAAATCTACAGAACAAATTATGGTTCAAAGTATAGCTCACTGTATGGATCAATATGTGTTTGGACTCACGGCTGGATGTATGGCTTAAAGTATGGCTAGAAGTTTGACTAAATGTCTAGCTATATGACTGGCATATTGTCTAGCTAAATGTATGGACTTATACAGTTAATACACAAAACTGTATGATCTTTTTTGTTAAACTTTATGAGCACAGTGCTTGTGAGAAATAATTGTATTTCTTCAATAGTAAGATCATCTTTTAACACAATGCTGGACTTCGGACTTCAAACATTGTCATTTGTTTTTTTGTACAGGTTATGAACACAGTTAAACTGTATGTAATGTCGGTGCAATTATTTTCCGTAGCCAAGATAATTTTGCCCTGCTAATTAACAAAAGTTGTTAGGCGCTGAAAGTTGTGTATTGTAAATGAAAGACAAAGTCTTTTTTGTACGTGAATAATA